CAGAGCCATCCCACTTCCCATCTAGTTTTCTCTTGATTCCAGCCTTGCCAACGAGCATGTCTTCCTCCGGCGCATCTCACCCTAGCCTCAGTGGGCAGGTGATCGAGAAACTCTCCCGCACGAACTACGTGCTATGGCGCACACAGATCACGGCACAGCTGTGTGGCGCTGGTGTCTTCAGCTATGTTGGTGGCACCTCTCCGGAGCCGGCCAAGCTCCAAGCCGCTGCTACGTCTTGAGCTTGCGTTGGTTTTCCTTGAAGAGGAAAGGGTGATGCAGCAGAGTAGCGTAAGTATTTCCCTCAGTTTTTGAGAACCAAGATATCAATCCAGTAGGAGGCTCCTCAAAAGTCCCACGCACCTACACAAACAAACAAAGAACTCGCAACCAACACAATAAAGGGGTTGTCAATCCCTTCACGGCCACTTGCGAAAGTGAGATCTAATAGAGATAGTATGATAAGATAAATATATTTTTGGTATTTTATAATATAGATACAAAAAGTAAAGATGCAAATAAAAGTAGATTGGAAGCAAATATGATAAGAGGTAGACCCGGGGGCCATAGGTTTCACTAGAGGCTTCTCTCAAGATAAAGTATTATGGTGGGTGAACAAATTACTGTCGAGCAATTGATAGAAAAGCGAATAATTATGAGATTATCTAGGCATGATCATGTATATAGGCATCACGTCCGCAACAAGTAGACCGACTCTTGCCTGCATCTACTACTATTACTCCACACATCGACCGACTCCTGCCTGCATCTAGAGTATTAAGTTCATAAGAACAGAGTAACGCCTTAAGCAAGATGACATGATGTAGAGGGATAAACTCATGCAATATGATATAAACCCCATCTTTTTATCCTCGATGGCAACAATACAATACGTGCCTTGCAACCCTTTCTGTCACTGGATAAGGACATTGCAAGATTGAACCCAAAGCTAAGCACTTCTCCCATGGCAAGAAAGATCAATCTAGTAGGCCAAACCAAACTAATAATTCGAAGAGACTTGCAAAGATAACTCAATCATACATAAAAGAATTCAGAGGAGATTCAAATATTTCTCATAGATAAACTTGATCATAAACCCACAATTCATCGGATCTCGACAAACACACCACAAAAAGAGATTACATCGAATAGATCTCCACAAGAGAGGGGGAGAACATTGTATTGAGATCCAAAAAAAGAGAAGAAGCCATCTAGCTAATAACTATGGACCCGAAGGTCTGTGGTAAACTACTCACAACTCATCGGAAGGGCTATGGTGTTGATGTAGAAGCCCTCCGTGGTCGATTCCCCCTCCGGCAGAGCGCCGGCGAAGGCTCCAAGATGGGATCTCGCGGATACAGAAGGTTACAGCGGTGGAAATTGTGTTTCGGTTGCTCCCTGGATGTTTTTGGGGTACGTAGGCTTATATAGGAGGAAGAAGTACGTTGGTGGCCGCCCGAGGGGCCCACGAGACAGGGGGGCGCGCCCTGCAGGGGGGGGGGGGGCGCCCTACCCTCTCGTGGCCGCCTCGGCTGCTTCTTGACTTGCACTCCAAGTCCTCTGGATCATGTTCGTTCCAAAAATCACGCTCCCGAAGGTTTCATTCTGTTTGGACTCCGTTTGATATTCCTTTTCTTTGAAATACTGAAATAGGCAAAAAAAACAACAATACGGACTGGGCCTCCGGTTAGTAGGTTAGTCCCAAAAAGGATATAAATGTGTAATTTAAATCCCATAAATATCCAAAAGGGGTAATATATTAGCATGGAACAATCAAAAATTATAGATATGTTGGAGACGTATCAAGCATCCCAAGCTTAATTCTTGCTTGTCCTCGAGTAGGTAAATGATAAAAACAGAATTTTTGATGTGGAATGCTACCTAGCATAATTCTCAATGTAATTTTCTTTATTGTGGCATGAATGTTCAGATCCAAATGATTCAAGATAAAATCTTATAAAACATAAAAAAATGCTTCAAAGCATACTAACAAATAATCATGTCCTATCAAAATAGCATAGCCAAAGAAAGCTTATCCCTACAAAATCATATAGTTAGGTCATGCTTCATTTTCATTACACAAAATACTCCCATCATGCACAACCCCGATGATGAGCCGAGCAATTGTTTCATACCTTTTAACGCGCTTCAGCTTTTTTCAACTCTTACGCAATACATGAGTGTAAGCCATGGACATAGCACTAAGGTGGTAAAAGATGGTGGTTGTGAGGACAAAAAGAGGGAGAAGATAGTCTCACATCAACTAGGCGTATCAATGGGCTATGAAGATGCCCATCAATATATATCAATGTGAGTGAGTAGGGATTGCCATGCAACGGATGCACTAGAGCTATAAATATATAAAAGCTCAACAAAAAGAAACTAAGTGGGTGTGCATCTAACTTGCTTGCTCACGAAGACCTAGGGCATTTTGAGGAAGCCCATCATTGGAATATACAAGCCAAGTTCTATAATGAAAAATTCCCACTAATATATGAAAGTGACAATATATGAGACTCTCTATCATGAAGATCATGGTGCTACTTTGAAGCACAAGTGTGGAAAAAGAGATAGTAGCATTGTCCCTTCTCTCTTTTTCTCTCATTTTATTTTATTTTTCTTTTTCTTCTCTTTTTTTCTTATTTTTTCTTTGGCCTCTTTTCTTTTTGGCCTTTCTCTTTTTTTTCTTCTCTTTTTTTCTTTTTGTAAAGTCTGAAGTCTCATCCCGACTTGTGGGGGAATCATAGTCTTCATCACCCTTTCCTCACTGAGACAATGCTCTAATAATGAAGATCATCACACTTTTATGGATTTACAACTCAAAAATTACAACTCAAAGCTAGAACAAGATATGACTATATATGAATGCCTCCGACGGTGTACCGGGATATGCAATGAATCAAGAGTGACATGTATGAAAATTATGAAGGTGGCCTTGCCACAAATACGATGTCAACTACATGATCATGCAAAAAGCAATATGACAATGATGAAACGTGTCATCATAAACGAAACGGTGAAAAGTTACATGGCAATATATCTCGGAATGGCTATGGAAATGCCATAGTAGGTAGGTATGGTGGCTGTTTTGAGGAAGGTAAATAATGGGTTCAATACCGGCAAGAGTTGCGCGGTAATAAGAGAGGCTAGCAAAATGGAAAGATGAGTGTGCGTATATCTATGGACTCACATTAGTCATAAAGAACTCATATACTTATTGCAAAAGTCTATTTAGCCCTCGGAGCAAAGTACTACTACGCATGCCCCAAGAGGGATAGATTGGTAGGAAAAGACCATCACTCGTCCCCGACTGCCACTCATAAGGAAGACAATCAAAAGAGCACCTTATGCAACAAATTTGTCACACAACTTTTACCATACGTGCATGCTACGAGACTTGCTAACTTCAACAAAAGTATTTCTCAATTTCATAATTATCCACTAGCATGACCCTAACATTACTACTTTTATATCTCAAAACAATTATCAAGCAACAAATTGATCATAGCATCCAATTCACTTTCTATGATAGTTTTTATTATACCCAACTTGTATGCTCATCATTCTAGGACCAAATTTGTAACCAAAGCAAATACCATGATGTTCTAAAAGACTCTCAAAATAATATAAGTGAAGCACATAGAGTATTCTAGCAAATTCTAATCAAATAGGCTTCTCCCAAAAGGTGTGTATAGCAAGGATGATTGTGGTAAACTAAAAAGCAAAGACTAATATAATACACGACGCTCCAAGCAAAACACATATCATGTGGCGAATAAAAATATAGCTCCAAGTAAAGTTACCAATGAACGAAGACGAAAGAGGGGATGCCTTCCCGGGGCATCCCCAAGCTTAGGCTTTTGGCTATTCTTGAATATCTTGGGGTGCCATGGGCATCCCCAAGATTAGGCTCTTGCCACTCCTTATTCCATAGTCCATAAAAGCTTTACCCAAAACTTGAAAACTTCACAACACAAAACTCAACAGGAAATTTTATAAGCTCCGTTAGTGAAAGAAAACAAAACCACCACATAAGGTACTGTAATGAACTCATTCTTTATTTATTTTTGTGTTAAACCTACTGTATTCCAACTTCTCTATGGTTTATAAACTATTTTACCAGCCATAGATGCATCAAAATAAGCAAACAACACACGAAAAACAGAATCTGTCAAAAACAGAACAGTCTGTAGCAATCTGTAACTAACGCAAACTTATGGAACTCTAAAAATCTACTATATATAAATAGCTAGCCCCCACTACTAGGAATTCTCTAACTTCTCCTTGAGCCACATCACCCAAATTATTTTAGCCCTTGGATATACTAGATTAGTCTACCACAGCCATGAGATTTACACTTGGGATCTGTTGCACCAAGCTCATGCACGCATGCATGCAATGCCTCTGGTAACCGATGCCTGAACATGCATGCATCCCCATTTATTTTGTCCATGCTCTACATTTGATATGTGATCACATCGGTGCCTTCAATTAACCTGCCGTTTCATTGTCCCACTAATCGAAAATAAACCGATGTGCGCAAGCTGAGGAGCCTCTCAACCTCTGCTCCCAAACTCCTTGGATCTACCTCCAGAATCCAGCGTACTTCCCATACGATGCATCAACTTCCACTCCAGCTTCTCATTTGGCTCAGCCTGAACCTTCCCATGCAAACAACATACACACCCCCAATCATGGACCGTGGAAGATCGCGTCAGCCTTTCACCGATGACCTCCGTACACGTTGCCTGTACGTGGTCTCCCTCATTATCTTCTAGGTCTCTGATTGTTTATTTTTTTCTCCATTTGGATAGTCAAGGCACACAAAATATGAGCTTAGTTTGCGGTGGTGAAAATTTGGTGCTGATGGCCATGTAGTTTGCCTCCCTTTCACGTAGTTGGCTCTCCTTTAAATTAATCATTCAATTTACCTCGGTTTTGATTATCACTGCATTTCTACAATTGTATAATCTTGCCTCTAAATTAATGTTTCCTTGAATCAGTCAGTACGTTGCATCATTCCTGTTCAATGGAATGCCCAAGGTGAGAAATTTAGTACTTCCTCCGTCCCTAGCTTGCAAAATGATGTTATATTATGGGACGGAGGGAGTAGTACACAAGATCGGTCTACCTGAATCAGCAGGTAACACTCTAAAGACAAAATAAGCATGTCCTTTATTTTAATTGTGGTTCATGTTAACGAATCTCCATCTGTCCATCATGACCATATATGTTGCGTGCCATGTTATTGAGGGTTAAATTATTTTCCCATTTTTACCAAATAACCTGACGCGGTAATTGGATCCAAAACCTTACTATTTTTCTTATGTATTAAGCATTTAAGGTTTTAAGTTACACGAAAAACCTATTACTATCATCGGACCTATATTTATCCATTCAATTATTTTCATGCATATTGTGCAGGCATATGCCAACAATTGCAATGTGCATTTTAATTCTTGGTTCTCATACCAACATAACACAAGAAGTCCCGCGGCAACGCACGGCAAAAGATACTACCAAAATAGGAAGTGCTGGAAAATTTGTTTATTGGTCAGCAGCAAAAATAATCAACGCAAAATCACGTTTCTGTGATTTAACAAAATTAAATTCGTGCATGCAAAGTTTCTGTTTTTCAGCAGAATCAAATTAACTATCATCGTAGGTTATCCTATAGGTTCTACTTTGCACAAACACTAATTAAAAGATAAAAAACACATCTAAACAGAGAGTAGATGCAATATTTATTACTAAACAGGAACAAAAACAAAAAGCACAAAGAAAATTGGGTTGCCTCCCAACTAGCACTATCGTTTAACGCCACTAGCTAGGCATAAAAGCAAAGATAGATCTAAGTAGTGCCATCTTTGGTACTCAATTCATAAGTAGCTCGCATGATAGATTCATAAGGTAATTTAACTTTCTTACTTGGAAAGTGCTCCATGCCTTTCTTTACTGGAAATTGGAATCTAATATTCCCTTCCTTCATATCAATAATCGCACCAATCGGTCTAAGGAAAGGTCTACCAAGAATAATAGGGCAAGAAAGATTGCAATCTATATCAAGAACGATAAAATCTACGGGCACCAAATTTCTATTTGCAACAATGAGAACATCATTGATCCTTCCCATTGGCTTTTTAATGGTGGAATCCGCAAGGTGCAAATTTAAAGAACAATCATCAAGATCATGGAAACCTAGAATATCACATAAAGTTTTCGGAATCGTGGAAACACTAGCACCCAAATCACACAAAGAAAAACACTCATGATCTTTAATTCTAATCTTTATAGTAGGTTCCCACTCATCATTAAGTTTTCTAGGTATAGAAACTTCCAATTTAAGTTTTTCATCATAAGATTGCAACAAGGAAATACAACCTTCTAAAGAACAATTATCATAATCAAATTCCTTGAAATCCGAGATAGTGGGTTCAATGCTATTTAAAGTCATGACCTCTCCAATTCCACTTTTACCAATTTTAACATCAAGATCTAAAAACTCCGAATTCTTTGGACGCCTTCTAGGTAAAGTTGACTCATCTTCAGTCCCATTATTATCAAGATTCATATTGCAAAACAAAGATCTAATAGGAGACTCATCAATAACTTTAAGATCTTCATCATTATTTTCATCTAACTTTTCTGGTTTGGCGGCCATCTTATTGACTAAGGTGGCTTGCTTATCAGAAATTTTGGCTATAGCATTTTCAAGACGGGCAATTTGAGAATTCACACCATAAAATTCTTTATTCATATCATCAAGCTCTTTGTTTGTAAAACCCAAAAAACCTTTTTGTTCCTTAAGCTCTTTTCTGAAGAAATTATTATGCTCAAATTGCAAATTCATAAAGCTTCTAATATTTGATTCAATCTCTTCCATCCTTGTAAGAAGGTGGTCGGTACTTTTAGGCAAAGCCATAAGGACAAACAAGCACACAAGCAAACAGAAAAAGGCAAGCAAAAAGAAAGGAGGAGATTGGGAAAGAGAGGGCGAATAAAACGGCAAGGGTGAAGTGGGGGAGAGGAAAACGAGAGGCAAATGGAAAATAATGTAAATGCGAGGGAGATGAGTTTGTGATGGGTACTTGGTATGTCTTGACTTGAGCGAAGACCTCCCCCGCAACAGCGCCAGAAATCCTTCTTGCTACGTCTTGAGCTTGCGTTGGTTTTCCTTGAAGAGGAAAGGGTGATGCAGCAGAGTAGCGTAAGTATTTCCCTCAATTTTTGAGAACCAAGGTATCAATCCAGTAGGAGGCTCCTCAAAAGTCCCACGCACCTACACAAACAAACAAAGAACTCGCAATCAATGCAATAAAGGGGTTGTCAATCCCTTCACGGCCACTTGCAAAAGTGAGATCTAATAGAGATAGTATGATCAGATAAATATATTTTTGGTATTTTATAATATAGATACAAAAAGTAAAGATGCAAATAAAAGTAGATTGGAAGCAAATATGCTAAGAGGTAGACCCAGGGGGCATAGGTTTCACTAGAGGCTTCTCTCAAGATAGCATAAGTTTTACGGTGGGTGAACAAATTACTGTCGAGCAATTGATAGAAAAGCGAATAATTATGAGATTATCTAGGCATGATCATGTATATAGGCATCACGTCCGCAACAAGTAGACCGACTCCTGCCTGTATCTACTACTATTACTCCGCACATCGACCGACTCCTGCCTGCATCTAGAGTATTAAGTTCATAAGAACAGAGTAACGCCTTAAGCAAGATGACATCATGTAGAGGGATAAACTCATGCAATATGATATAAACCCCATATTTTTATCCTTGATGGCAACAATACAATATGTGCCTTGCAACCCTTCCTGTCACTGGGTAAGGACACCGCAAGATTGAACCCAAAGCTAAGCACTTCTCCCATGGCAAGAAAGATCAATCTAGTAGTCCAAACCAAACTGATAATTCGAAGAGACTTGCAAAGATAACTCAATCATACATAAAAGAATTCAGAGGAGATTCAAATATTTCTCATAGATAAACTTGATCATAAACCCACAATTCATCAGATCTCGACAAACACATCACAAAAAGAGATTACATCGAATAGATCTCCACAAGAGAGGGGGAGAACATTGTATTGAGATCCAAAAAGAGAGAAGAAGCCATCTAGCTAATAACTATGGACCCGAAGGCCTGTGGTAAACTACTCACCACTCATTGGAAGGGCTATGGTGTTGATGTAGAAGCTCTCCATGGTCGATTCCCCCTCCGACAGAGTGCCGACGAAGACTCCAAGATGGGATCTCGCGGATACAGAAGGTTACGGTGGTGGAAATTTTGTTTTGGTTGCTCCCTGGATGTTTTCGGGGTACGTAGGCTTATATAGGAGGAAGAAGTACGCCGGTGGCCGCCCAAGGGGCCCATGAGACAGGGGGCGCGCCCTGTAGGGGGGGGGGCGCCCTACCCTCTCGTGGCCGCCTCGGCTGCTTCTTGACTTGCACTCCAAGTCCTTTGGATCACGTTCGTTCCAAAAATCACGCTCCCGAAGGTTTCATTCCGTTTGGACTCCATTTGATATTCCTTTTCTTTGAAATACCGAAATAGGCAAAAAACAGGAATACATGCTGGGCCTCTGGTTAGTAGGTTAGTCCCAAAATTGATATAAATGTGCAAAATAAAGCCCATAAACATCCAAAAGGGGTAATATAATAGCATTGAACAATCAAAAATTATAGATACGTTAGAGACGTATCAGCCGCCAAGGACAAGGACGACAAGAAGACCTTTGTGCCCAACCCTAACCACCCCATCTGGGTCAGGGAGGACTAGCAGGTGCTCGGCGACCTGCTGAGCAACCTCTCCAAATAGGTGCTCATCACGGTGACCACGGTCACCACGGCGCATGCGCTTTGGACGACGCTGGCGGGCATGTTCTTGTCGCAGTCGCTAAGCCGCGTCAACAACATCCGTACCTCGCTCATCAACACGCGGAAGGGCAACCAGTCCGCCGCCGCCTACTTCGCCACCATGCGCGGCCTCGTGGACGAGCTGGCTGCGGCCGACAAACCCATCCAAGACGATGAACTGATCTCGTACATCCTCCACGGGCTGGATCTGGAGTACCAGCCCCTCGTCTCTGCCCTCGACGCATGCGTCAGCCCTGCCTCCCTCGACGAGATCTTCTCCATGCTCAATAACTTTGACCAGCGCATGGCACAATTCCAGAACTCCAGCAGCGACGGCTTCAAATCCTCTGCCAACCTTGCTTCCCGTGGTCGTGGCGGCGGCTCTCGCTACCGCGGTCCTTCCCGTGGCAAGGGCATGTCCAGTGGCGCCAGAACCAGAAGCAGTGGCGGAACCAGTGGTGGTGGCGGCCGTGGCAACAGGGGCCGTCGTGGTGGCGGCTCTGGCAGAACTCGCCCGGACGCCCTGCGTTGTCAGATCTGTGGCAAACCAGGCCACACTACCAAGGACTGCTGGTACCGTTATGATGAAGACGAGGACGACTCCCAAGATGATAACAAGATTGCTGCGGCGGCTGATGGCTCGTACGACATCGACACCAACTGGTACCTCAACAGCAGCGCCACCCATCATCTCACCGGAGAGCTCGAGAAGGTGACTCTTCATGAGAAGTACCACGGCAAGGATCAAATCCACACCGCTGATGGTGCAGGTATGAGCATCAGCAACATTGGTCATTTGGTTATACATACCCCTAGTCGTAAGATTCATCTTAGAAAAATATTGCATGTTCCTAGTGCCAAGAAAAACCTCCTTTCTGTTCACAGAATTACACTTGACAATCATGTCTTCATTGAATTTCATCCTTTTTTCTTCTTGATCAAGGATCTGGCCATGAGGAAAACTCTCTATCGAGGTAGATGCGTTCGTGGACTCTACCCATTTCTTCTGGAGTTTAGAAGACACAATAAACAAGCCTATGGTGTTGTCAAGCTTCCTTCAACACGGTGGCACGATCGTCTAGGACATGCTTCATTTTCTTTAGTTGAACGCTTGCTTAGTAAAAATAAGCTCCCATTTGTTGGTGAGCATCATGTTGAAACTATTTGTGATTCATGCCAAAGAGCAAAAAGTCATCAATTGCATTATCCTGTTTCTACCAGTGTTTCTACTCAACCACTTCAGTTAATCTTTTCGGATGTTTGG